ATAAAATCGTAATAAGAGTATCTAACCGATTTTCATTTAATGTTAGACATAGACACCTATGTATATAAAAATACATTGTAAATAAACTGGCTTTAAAAAAAAAAGTAATTCAATTGAGTTTCTTGCCAGTTCTTCTCAATTGGATCTATATACCGAACTGGGCGGTAGGGAAAAAATAAAATTATAATGTAAAAATTTGACGTTCATAAGCGGCTAAAATGTCCTACATGATAAATGATTTTTGAATTTGAATTTGAATTTGATTTAAAAAATCTTTTACCTATAGAAGTCTACAACGTGAAAGATATAATTTATTTAGAAAAAAATCCATACGACAATAGAATGGAATAGAATAGAAAATCATTTATTCAAATAAACTTAATTTAAGCACTTTTGAATAGTCATAACAATTTACTCGTTGAAAGCTGTTTAGCAAGAAATCTTTTATAATCCTTGTAAGTTTACATTTCAACGTGTGAATACAAACTACAACAAGCACTAATTTTTTGGGTCAAATATAATCATGCAATAAGATTAAATCAGTCGTAGTGATAAGAGCAGACCAGTCCCTACAAGCAGCACTCGTTCACGAGTATGACGGATGAGCCAGCCATCACTGCGCTCGACCATATTTTAGTGAGCATGACTACTCATTCCACACGACCACGTCACACAATTACAGCAGTATGTATGTTTAGCAGGTTGGTACTTCAATTACACATAAATAAATAGCAGATCCGGCCACGAGTTGCTGTGGCTAAGGTTCTTGAATAAAATAATATTGCGACTATAAATTGAGATGTAAGCTATCCTATCTCTCAAGTTGGATCAAATTGCACACAATGTGCAAATCAAAATTGCAATCGGTTCAGTACTTTAGGAGTCCATCGCGGACAAACGACGTGACATGTAATTTTTATATATAAATTTTTTCTCTTTTAAACTCTTTCCGTTTCTTAAAAGAGCACCAACTAATTTGCAATTTCATTTGGTGTTGCGGGTACTCAGAGACGGCGCTAACTACTCACAATCAGAAGAACTGCTCGTTTCCCTATATTAATTACTAATTTTCTGCTTGATATAATATCCAGTTATTTCTAGGGTACATTTTGTTATATTTTTCTTGTTCTCTGAATGAGTTCACGAAGACTTTATTCATTATAAGTTACAATTAATTTAAAAAATAATGTTTGCTGCACTTTTGTATTAGGCTAAGACATGTGAAAATAGATGTAAGTGTGGAAAAAAAATAAATATTACCCGCTTGTCGCCTATAATTGTGCCGCTACATGACTGCAGGCGTTTGTGACTTATACCAAACGTTGCCAGTAAATGTATCAAGGCGGTTTAGTACTACATTGGATGAGTTGGTATGCCGCTGTGAATTATCTTCGTGTGACCACTTGTACATTTGCTGCTCTAGTTTTAGATACATTAATATTTATATATCTTATTTCTTACTAATATTATAAACGAGAAAGTTTGTGAGTCTGTATGGATAGAGATGCATGTTTGTTACTCTTTCATGCAAAAACTACTGAACTGATTTTGATGAAACTTTACAGTAATATAGCTTACTAGCTTTTGCTCGCGGCCTCGCTCGCGTTAATTTATATTTATAGCCTATGTTTGTGTTTGGTTTCTCTTTTATCTCGTTTTGTCGTTTCTCTTCATATTTCTTGTTGCGTGCGTTACCGTTTGGTTGAGTGCTAAATTAGACCAGTTTAGCACATAGCCTATGTTATTCTGATGATAAGCTATATTACTGTAAAGTTCCATCAAAATCCGTTCAGTAGTTTTGCGTGAAAGAGTAACAAATATCCATACGTACTCGCAAACTTTCGCGGTTATAATATTAACTAGCGTTTGCCCTCGGCTTCGCTCGAATAGTAGTGTTATTATTAATTAGGTGTAGTTTTTACGGCTTTACTTTTGTTTAGCGTGTTTAAAAAATTAGGGCCTACAAAATCTAAGAAGATTTATACAAACTTTCATCTCCTATTTTATCCCCTTAGGGGTGGAATTTATCAAAATCCTTTCTTAGGGGATGCCTACGTCATAGTAGCTTTATGCGTTGAAAGTCTCAGCCCGATCGGTTTAAAATAGTTACATATATATACATTTATAGGAAATAGTCAATTTAGTTTGTCTGTATGCGACTCACTCTGTAACTAGCCCATTATCTAATCGAGCATTGTTAGTAAACAAATATTTGTGAATGTAGTCATGAATATGCGAGTTGCATTAGTTGAGAGGGAAAGGTGAACCGCATTCCGGTCCGAGCTGGTGGCTGTAGGACGCGAAAATAAATCTTATGCTACACTATATATATCACTAGCTGTACCCGCGACTTCGTCCGCGTAGAATTTAACTTTCTTTTTCTAAAATAAAAGTAGTTTAAGTTACTCCTTATTACATCAGCTACCTGCCAATAAAAGTCCCGTCAAAATCGGTCCAGCCATTTCAGAGATTAGCCGGAACAAGCAGACAGACAGACAAAAAATGTTATTTTGGTGTATGTACCGTATGCATGTAGTAAAAAACAGTTAGTTCAATATTACAAACAGACACTAATTTTATTTCTATGTATACACTAGTTGACCCGCTCAACTTTGTCTGCGTTTCATTTCCTCTCCTTTTGCAATATTTTTCATTGCAGCTCCGCTCCTATTAGGCTTTAGAAAAAATCTTTTATTTTACAAAAATAAAGTTAAATTCCACGCGGACGAAGTCGCTCTGTACAGCAAGTACATAAACTGTATTCATAAGATACGAGCAAACTAGATTGCATTAGCATCATAGGCGGAGGTTGTCAACTACGAAAATACATTTATGAAAATATCATCTATGCCAGAAGGAATATAGACAGTTTCAAAAGAGTTAGTGATTGCACTAATAAAAGCTTACGTAACAATAACAAACTGATTTTACCTAAATGTCGTTTGGCTAAAGTTAGTAATTCGTTTTATGGCAATTGCGTAAGGTTTTACAATAAAATACCAGAGTCTGTTATAAATCTGCCAGAAAAAAGATTTAAATGTCAAATAAAACAGTTCCTTTGCAAAAAAGCTTACTATAAAATTGAAGAATTCGTTAACGATAATAATGTTTTTATAGAAAATCTTTAAATCTATAGCACTGACAATATTATCTGATTACATTAATAATGAGTGCGTAGCGACTTCTATGTTGATTATCGCATGCCTCTTACTTGTTATACTGTAATTATTTATATAAAAAAAACATCTATTAAAAAGAGCAACACACAAGTTTCTTGCTCATTCTTCTTGTGATGAATCTGCATTCAGAATGAGTGGTAGAATCAAAATATGACTTTTCAAAAGTGCTTCTAATGAGTTTATTTGAGTAAAGATTATTTCTATTTCTATTACAAACTGAACTTACATCGAGACGGGAGAATGATGTTGAATATAAGTTATTAGCTGTCATATAGATAATAATAATCTCAGGACAATTCACACAGCGCCATCTAGTCGATTCACTATGCCAGTATGTTACTCGGCGTCATTTTCTCCTAGACATATCCTCTAAATGAATTCACATATTCACTTTACTGTTAATCACTAACTTCAAAACCTTTATCTAACTTAATACTACATAATAATAATAATCTCAGGACAATTCACACAGCGCCATCTAGTCGCGAGCTAAGAACTTGTGTTATAGGTGCTAGAGAACTGATATATATATATAGAAATATTTTTTTATAATTGAGAATATCCAGATCGCTACAAACAATCATACTCATGAATAGAAATGTTACAAGAAATAATAATAATAATCTCAGGACAATTCACACAGCGTCATCTAGACCCAAGTTAAGCTAGCTAAAGCTTGTATTATGGGTACTAGACAACTGATACAAATACATAGATATTATACATAGAAAACACCCAGACCGACACATCAACAATCATACTCATGAATTCAAATGTTGGTACCGTGCAAGGAATCGGACCAGCGACCGTTGGAAATAAAGATGTGCTAAACTACTAGATCACTGAGGCCGTCAAGTGAATATGTGAATATTTCAAATAGAGGATATGTCTAGGAGGAAATGAACTCACGAACAGACACCAAGAAACATACTGGCATAGTGAAACGTCCCAATATTCATGACACGTACCAAGCACGCATCGTGTACACGTGGAGATGTGATAACTGGTAATAAACATAACTCGAGTTGAAATTCAGGTAACTCGAGTTAACTCGAGTTACCTGGAATAGACAGTTGTTTTTTTTCTTTTTTAATTTTTCGAACAAATCTAATGTTTTTGGCCGCAGCTAGACTTGAAAGCTTCACCGAACCGTAGGGGGCGAGTAGAAATGGCACTTCAAAGCCGCGGAAGGACTTATAGAGCGCATAATTATTTTAATGATAACATAACAATATTGAAACGACGAAATTGATTGAAATTGACGAAAACGAGTGAAATGATCGTAAAATTTCATGTCATTGTCGGTTCGATGACAGAATCATGCTCTCGCTCTTTCACTTGATTCGTTCATTTACCAGTTGAATTCTTCCAACTTGAGTTGGCAGAATTCAACTCGAGTTTACTCGAATTCACCGCAACTCGAGTTGACTCGAGTTGACACATCTCTATGCACACGTGATTGTCTATTGCCAAGAGGAGATTGGAAATAGTTTCAACATAAATACATAATATGTTATATGCATATGCTATTGCAAAAGAAAATTGTTTAATCGTAACCCAGAACAGACCAGTTCCCACAAGCATACGTCCACGAGTATGACGGATGAGCCAGCCATCATTGCATACCAACTGTATTAGAGGGAGCACACTAACCTGGCCCGCCACCAAGTTTGAATTTTATAACGAGCATGACTGTTTCAAGTTACTCCATTACATCATTTATATTATTTACAGCATAGGCTGTAACAATCATAGTTTTCACCCATTACAATCTGAATGTTTAGCATTTTTAATAATTTTTAACATTTTTGCTTGTTGCAGTTGGGTCGTGTTCCAATGCCGGTGAACATGTTGGTGCCTCCGAGGTACGCGACGCTGCCGCTGCAGCCAGCACACTTCGCGCAACACGGGCCCCCCGGGCCCCACGGGCCCCCAGGGCCCCTCTACTATCCTGTACACGACACTGTATGTATTATTTAAAGATATGTATATTATACAATCTATGTGTATTTCTACTGATGAAAAAGGGGTAGGTTATTCTTTGTATTTCCAAATAACCCGCGGCCGCGTGGAATTTAACTTTATTTTTCTAAAATAAAAGTAGCCTAAGTTACTCCTTATTACATCAGCTACCTGCCAATAAAGATCCCATCAAAATCGGTCCAGCCATTTCAGAGATTAGCCGGAACAAACAGACCGACAGACAGACGGACAAAAATTTAATAAAGTGTTTTTTTGGTGAATGTATCGTATTTATATTCATATGCGTGTAATAAAAAACGGTTATTTCAATATTACAAACAGACACTCCAATTTTATTTATATGTATAGATAATGGGATATTATATTAAGTGGAAGGTTTTATTAAAAAAAATATATCTATAGTAATATATAGTATCAGCAAATTACTTAGACTGTATTCAATGTAAACAGCGCTATGGAATATAACTAGTCGTTATTTTTTATTAAGATATCTTCCCAAATCTCCATTGCCGTTTCCAACATTTCTAACCAAACACAGCTGACAGAGCAAGACAGAGCAAATTACTAAGTAATAGAAATAGAGATAGAATCATCATTATTCAAATAAACTCATTACAAGCACTTTTGAATAGTCATATTTTTTTATTCCACCACTCATTCGGAATGCAGACTCATCACAAGAAACTTGTGTGTTGCTCCTTTAAATATACGAGTATGTTATTTTTAATTAGTAATTACACTATAACAAGTAAGAGGCATGCGATAATCAACAAAGGAAACCGCTACTCACTCATTCTTAGTGCAATCAGGTAATATTGTCAGTGTTATTAATTTTAAGTTTTTTTCTACAAAAACATTATTATCATTTACAAATTCATAAATTTTATAATAATCATTTTTACATAGTGTTTTATACGACAGTTAAATATTTTTTCAGACAGATTTAATAAGTAAATTGTTTGGCGAGACAAAGGTACTCATGAGAGACTGTACAAAATGAAATTAAAATCGTTTTGTACATCTATATTCAAGTAATACTATTCTCTCTCGTTGTACTCGTTGGTTGAAGTTTTCTGTAAATAATAATCCAGGATCCAGGGATATTACCCTGGACGATTCTCACAGCGCCATCTAGTCCCAAGATAAGCAGAGCTTGTGTTATCGATACTAGACAACTGGCAGATACACTTATATATATTTTATAAATACATAGCAATACAAACTATATTATTGATTACAAATATTTGTACGAATTTAAAATGGTAAATCTTGACATGTTACAGCGCGTCCGGCGGCGCCGCTCGCCGCGCTCTCCAAGGCACGAGCGGCGGCGGGCGGGCGGGCGCGGACGCGAGCGCGACTCGCAGCTCACCCGCTCGCTGGAGCGGATACACCGCAAGCGGCGAGCGGAGCGGGAGCGGATGAGCGAAGCTGACCTCAAGCGGACCTATACGGGCCTCGACAGGTAAGACTGATAAGAATGCGAATGGTAAACAATTAATTACCCCACAGAAAGTCCTAACTGTTACCCTTGAATACGAAGGGTATTATTTTGTATGTCCATAGGTAACAGTTGTTATTCTTGAGGACTGATTCCTAATCACAGCGGCGTCTAATCCCAAGATAATTAATAAAAAAAATATTATATATGTAAAAAACAACTATGAATGTTTATATCAGTGATTCTCAAAGTGGTCTATGTACCCCCAGGGGTCTATGACAAACTGCAAAGGGTCTACGACAGCGGCCATCTTGTTGTTTTTATGTTTTTAACACTAAACTTTACAACAATTAGAAATTTACAAAAAATATACCAGGTAAGAATGTCTGAAAACCGAAAAATATGGCAAGGGGTCTACGACACAAAAAAGTTTGGGAACCTATGGTTTATATTGTTCAGGCCAATATAAACAATCATACTCATAACACAAATGTTTAAACCATGCGAGGAATCGAACCTGCGATCGTCCGTAGTAAAGCGGTCTGCAAAAGCGCTAGCGGATGCAGCCCGCAGGCCGTGTCTTTGACATCACTGATGGGCTATTCTATTATGGGCTATTTATTATTTTCAGGGCATACGCTGAACAATTCATAGCGGTGTGCGACGAGAGTCGACACGCGGCTGAACAGCACGACTCCCTCGGGAGTACCACCAGCTCGAGTGACGGTCCACAATCGCACGACCTCTGAACCTTCACCAAGCAAGAATTCTAACTCCTGGCTTTTTTATCATAAGACTAACCCACCCCTGATGAAATTAGTGTAGGGATCTCTATTCAGCCCTGATGAAATTATTGTAGGGATCTCTATTCAGCCCTGATGAAATTATTGTAGGGATCTCTATCCAGCCCTGATGAAATTAGTGTAGGGACCTCTATCCACCCCTAATGAAGTCATTGTAAGGACCTCTATCCACCCTTGATGAAATCATTGTAGGAGTATCAGTCCAGACCTGATGAAATCATTGTATAAATATCAATCCAGACCTGATGAAGTCATTGTATCATAAGGATCTCTATCCACTGCTGATGAAATCGTTGTAGGGATATCTATCCATCCCTGATTGAGTCATTGTAGGGATCTCTATCATCGACGCGTGGTCCAGGAGCGTCAGCGCAGAATATTCAGGACTGTAAAATTGTCATATTTTATTATTTTTACTGTACATAAAATTTTATAGATCGTAAATTAATTAGTATTTATTTTGTAATTAAATTAAGAATTAATATATAAATATTGTCACAGTTTAGTTTAAAAACATTATCCTAAATAGTGATTTGTTATCGTTATTTTCAAATAGTCGTCTAAATATATAAATGTATCTACTAAAGTAACGAATAATCGTTATTTTTAAATACTCGTCTAGTTAAACTAAAGTAACGAATAGATATTACGTACCAAACTAAAACTAAGCTTTATACTAAATATGCTATTGTAAATAATGTTACCTTATTAACTACACAGCTAGTTTAATATATTATAATAATATATAATAGAATATAGTACCTACAGCTCATGTTAGTAAGTTTAATGCAGATACAATTGTTAGTTCCGGCGACAGAAGAAACGACATCAAACTCTTTTTGAAGGCAAACATAATTTATGTCTATATTGAAAATTTGTATATTTATATATATGTATGATACTTTATAAAACTATGTGCTAAAATATGCTAGTTGTTAGTAGGTTAATAATCAATAAATAACTAACCGTTACTAATGTTGTCACTAACCCAACGTTACTTTGTACACTTGTGTTATATCGTCAAATATCTGTGTTATGAATATTTCTAAGTCTTGTTTACTTTTAGTCTTCATTATTAAGAAGCTGATCGGCAGAGATTGTTTATTTAAATTTAAATAAATAATATATTTTTTTAAAACTAACTATAACTTTATCTCCTTTGGAAAGTTTACACTATATCTTGAGGAGATAAAAACCCTCACTCATGGCTAAACTAGGGCTATGGACGACAAAAATCTGCAGATTCTGTCAAACTGAGGAAAGAGGAAACGCCACTACACATCCTATGTGGTCGTAGCCCACTCATGCATAAACAAATTATCTCCTTTGGAAAGTTTACACTCTTTCTCAAGGAGATAAAAACCATCGCTCCTAAGAATATCCTTCAATTCTTGTCCCTGACGGGTCTAGACAGCGAACTTTGAATAAGGGCGAGCACAATAGATCTATACAGGTCGCAGTGCTACAGGTCTTAGCACCTGACAATGAAATGTTTATCGGTTTATTTAATACTAGTTACTCACCCCTGCTTCGCCCGGATGTACATATTATATATATAAACCTTCCTCTTGTATCGCTCTATCTATTAAAAAAACTGCTACACAATCCGTTGCGTAGTTTCAAAGATATAAGCATACATAAGGACGGACAGACAGCGACAGTGACTTTGTCTTATACTATGTAATGATTTCAATCAATCACAATTTATTTTTTATATATTACTCGCTACTAGATAAGGCTTTTGTACATGTATAGTACATATAAACCTTCCTCTTGAACCACACTATCCATTAATGACCCCGACGACCCCATAACTACAGGTAACTACAGGGTCCACCCGTTCCACCCCGACCACACTTTTACACATACACACGACACCGTCCTCGCCGGCGAAGACGACGACCTCAAACACACAATATCGCGCATTCAACCGGGCGCCTGCGCGCGCCCGGGCGCTCCACCCCAGCGCCTCCGGGCGCCTCTCCGATCGATCCCCCGTCCAATTCAAACGGGGATCGAAATTACGACGGTCTGAGCCGAGTTTCGAACCCCTAGTGGTGCCCTCAGACTAAAGTCGTATCCGTCAGGCAGGATTTGGCCTTCAGCCGCTCCATAAGTCCTTCCGCGGGTTTGGAGTGCCATCTGCACCCTAACGTCCGGTGAAGCTGTAAAGGCCAGCTACGGCCAACAGCATTAGAGTAGTCCGAAAAAAAAAAAAACTATCTATTAAAAAAAACTGCTTCACAATCCATTGCGTAGTTTTAAAGATATAAGCGGATAGACAACGGAAGTGACTTTATTTTATACTAGGTAAAGATAAATAATTCGCTACCTAAATCTTGGTATTTAGATTAAAAAAAACTATCTCTGCCTATCAGTACTATAGATAAGTTTATTCCTTAAGGGCATATTACATAATCAAATATATAACTCAAAGGTGACTGACATAGTGATCTATCAACGCACAGCCCAAACCACTGGACGGATCGGGCTGAAATGTGGCATGCAGGTAGATGTTATGACGTAGGCATCCGCTAAGAAAGGATTTTGATAAATTCCACCCCTAAGGGGATAAAGTAACGCGAGCGAAGTTGCGGGCAAAAGCTAGTCAAATATATAGCGTCATATTTAGCAACAATTTGTAATCTTATTGATGTACCTATTTTATTCCAATACAAAGATTTCATCTATACGTATAAATTAAATTGGAAGTGTTTTTGTAATATTGAAATAACCGTTTTTACTACATGCATATGAATATAAATACGGTACATACACCAAAATAACATTTTCATGTTTTGTCACATTTTAAAAGTCTTTAGTTATTGTTCCTGTATCTTTCTATAAACTTACGCACTATACAACAAGTATTTAATATTGCTACTTTTTACATTGTAATATATTTTTAAACTTTCGTGTTTAATATACATTATTTATATTATTAACCGGGTCTTAACACGAATAATTTTATGGCAAATAACGGTATTTAGATAAATACCTTTATTTACTACATATATATGATAATGTAATATGCTCTATAATATAGTATATGTTAGTGTTTGTATGTAAATATATGAAATAAAAGTCCGATGTACCTAAGCGGTGCCAAATTCAGCTCGCAAGCTTACTACTGATGCGTGAATACACGCGTTACATCTAAATTTGCTCAATTCGTCTTTATATTCAGTTATAGGTTAAGATTTCTATTTTTATACCTTTAGATAGATAAATAGATAGATGGAATATACTTTTAATTGCATTATAGAGAACATAGAAAAAAATTTTCTTAAACTTTCTTCAATATAAATACAATAAGGCGGCCGTATTGCTAAACGCATTTTTTTATTTGTTTATTGACCTGTTTCTAAATTATGAATTCTAAGAAGTATATATACGGTATGAGTAAGGATAGGACGGTGATAGGGATATCCCTTTCACTGCACTATCAGTCAGCCCTAGGACGGTGATAGGGATATAAATAATATATTTTTTTAAAACTAACTATAACTTTATCTCCTTTGGAAAGTTTACACTATATCTTGAGGAGATAAAAACCCTCACTCATGGCTAAACTAGGGCTATGGACGACAAAAATCTGCAGATTCTGTCAAACTGAGGAAAGAGGAAACGCCACTACACATCCTATGTGGTCGTAGCCCACTCATGCATAAACAAATTATCTCCTTTGGAAAGTTTACACTCTTTCTCAAGGAGATAAAAACCATCGCTCCTAAGAATATCCTTCAATTCTTGTCCCTGACGGGTCTAGACAGCGAACTTTGAATAAGGGCGAGCACAATAGATCTATACAGGTCGCAGTGCTACAGGTCTTAGCACCTGACAATGAAATGTTTATCGGTTTATTTAATACTAGTTACTCACCCCTGCTTCGCCCGGATGTACATATTATATATATAAACCTTCCTCTTGTATCGCTCTATCTATTAAAAAAAACTGCTACACAATCCGTTGCGTAGTTTCAAAGATATAAGCATACATAAGGACGGACAGACAGCGACAGTGACTTTGTCTTATACTATGTAATGATTTCAATCAATCACAATTTATTTTTTATATATTACTCGCTACTAGATAAGGCTTTTGTACATGTATAGTACATATAAACCTTCCTCTTGAACCACACTATCCATTAATGATCCCGACGACCCCATAACTACAGGTAACTACAGGGTCCACCCGTTCCACCCCGACCACACTTTTACACACACACACGACACCGTCCTCGCCGGCGAAGACGACGACCTCAAACACACAATATCGCGCATTCAACCGGGCGCCTGCGCGCGCCCGGGCGCTCCACCCCAGCGCCTCCGGGCGCCTCTCCGATCGATCCCCCGTCCAATTCAAACGGGGATCGAAATTACGACGGTCTGAGCCGAGTTTCGAACCCCTAGTGGTGCCCTCAGACTAAAGTCGTATCCGTCAGGCAGGATTTGGCCTTCAGCCGCTCCATAAGTCCTTCCGCGGGTTTGGAGTGCCATCTGCACCCTAACGTCCGGTGAAGCTGTAAAGGCCAGCTACGGCCAACAGCATTAGAGTAGTCCGAAAAAAAAAAAAAACTATCTATTAAAAAAAACTGCTTCACAATCCATTGCGTAGTTTTAAAGATATAAGCGGATAGACAACGGAAGTGACTTTATTTTATACTAGGTAAAGATAAATAATTCGCTACCTAAATCTTGGTATTTAGATTAAAAAAAACTATCTCTGCCTATCAGTACTATAGATAAGTTTATTCCTTAAGGGCATATTACATAATCAAATATATAACTCAAAGGTGACTGACATAGTGATCTATCAACGCACAGCCCAAACCACTGGACGGATCGGGCTGAAATGTGGCATGCAGGTAGATGTTATGACGTAGGCATCCGCTAAGAAAGGATTTTGATAAATTCCACCCCTAAGGGGATAAAGTAACGCGAGCGAAGTTGCGGGCAAAAGCTAGTCAAATATATAGCGTCATATTTAGCAACAATTTGTAATCTTATTGATGTACCTATTTTATTCCAATACAAAGATTTCATCTATACGTATAAATTAAATTGGAAGTGTTTTTGTAATATTGAAATAACCGTTTTTACTACATGCATATGAATATAAATACGGTACATACACCAAAATAACATTTTCATGTTTTGTCACATTTTAAAAGTCTTTAGTTATTGTTCCTGTATCTTTCTATAAACTTACGCACTATACAACAAGTATTTAATATTGCTACTTTTTACATTGTAATATATTTTTAAACTTTCGTGTTTAATATATATTATTTAAATTATTAACCGGGTCTAAACACGAATAATTTTATGGCAAATAACGGTATTTAGATAAATCTTTATTTACTACATATATATGATAATGTAATATGCTCTATCATATAGTATATGTTAGTGTTTGTATGTAAATATATGAAATAAAAGTCCGATGTACCTAAGCGGTGCCAAATTCAGCTCGCAAGCGTACTACTGATGCGTGAATACACGCGTTACATCTAAATTTGCTCAATTCGTCTTTATATTCAGTTATAGGTTAAGATTTCTATTTTTATACCTTTAGATAGATAAATAGATAGATGGAATATACTTTTAATTGCATTATAGAGAACATAGAAAAAAATTCTCTTAAACTTTCTTCAAATATAAATACAATAAGGCGGCCGTATTGCTAAACGCATTTTTTTATTTGTTTATTGACCTGTTTCTAAATTATGAATTCTAAGAAGTATATATACGGTATGAGTAAGGATAGGACGGTGATAGGGATATCCCTTTCACTGCACTATCAGTCAGCCCTAGGACGGTGATAGGGATATCACTTTCACTGCTCTACCGGTCAGCCTAGGGCGGTGATAGGGATATCCCTTTCACTGCGCTATCAGTCAGCCCTAGGGCGGTGATAGGGATATCCCTTTCACTGCGTTATCAGTCAGCCCTAGGGCGGTGATAGGGATATCCCTATCACTACAGTGCATCTTAGGCCTTTACCCATTTATCCTTACTACATACATACTAGTAGACCCAGCCACGCGTTGCTGTAGCTAAGGTTCTTGAATAAAATAATATTGCGACTATAAATTGAGATGTAAGCTATCCTATCTTTCAAGTTGGATCAAATTGCACACAATGTGCAAATCAAATTTGCAATCGGTTCAGTAATTTAGGAGTACATCGCGGACAAACAACGTGACACGTAATTTTTATATATAAAGATATAAAGTGTATATATACGACCCTAAAATATAGAGAATATCTATAGTAGTAGGGAGTGCCTTGCGCGTAGATAAGTTATCAGACAAAATACTACTAATAGTAATACGATTCCCCTAAAGAAAAAGCGATCTAGCTAACGATCTAGGCCACTCCCAGGCACAGCTCCTAGATCACCTCTTTTAGGACCATGTATATACATATAATTAGTAAATCACTGGGATCTTACCACGTTTTATTTTTTTGAGTTCCCGATGGATTAGTTCAACCGTGATCATGGCAGTTGAAACACTGCCGAAATATCGGGAACTCAATAAATATAAAACGTGGTAAGATCATGTGATTTACTAATTATATATATAAATAATGACCGCATCATATTTGAAACACTTAAATAGCTTTTAATATATTTACTAGCTACACGCCCCTGCTTTGCACGGGTGTACATGTATTATATATATAAACCTTCCTCTTGAATCACTCTATCTATTAAAATAAACCGTTTCAAAATCCGTTGCGTAGTTTTAAAGATTTAAGCATACATAGGGACGGACAGACAGCGACAGCGACTTTGTTTTATACTATGTAATGATTATTGTATTTTATTTTATGATTACTTAACGAATCTATAAATATTGCATATGTATATTTCTTTCTGTATATAGCAGTATGTAACTTTAAGAACTTAGTTTGTATTTCTAATTTAGCAACGATTTATATTGGAGTCAAATCGAGAAAAACCGGGAGCAAATGTAATATTTATAAATACTAACTAAATATAAAAATTAATTGTATACTTAAAACTAAATTGTGAATATTAAAAAAATCTCATTTACTGTAGACATACATATACGACCTAGGTGGTCTAGCACACCGCTTTACGACCGATGGTCGCGGGTTCGATTCCTCGTACGGTACAAACATTTATATCCATGAGTATGACTGTTTGTATCTGTCTGGCTGTTTTTATATATATTATGTATTTAAAAAAAAAACTATGTATGTAAAACATACACATCGAAAATGGTGAATAGACGAGAGAGTATTATTAAAATTGATTTAGCCATTCACTTCTATACGTTTTTTTTTTAATTTAAACTTACATTTTTATAAATTTCGTGTACATAGATAAGAAATAATGTCAATATTGTAATATATATACTATGATTACCTAATGTTTATAAAGGATTATTAATTTGGGATAGATATAAAGAGTTATTGTATTAATGAATTATTTATTTTTCTAAAAAAAATTATTGTAACTCAAAAATACATCGAACGCTTGTAAACTGATGTGTGAATAAATTGATCAAAATTATTATAAGACTTTTATTTCTATGTTAATTATAGAATAGAAATCATTTATTCAAATAAACTTAATTTAAGCACTTTTGAATAGTCGTAATTTTTTTTTATTTCCCGCTCGTTCGGAAAGCTGTCTCATCACAAGAAGAATGAGCAAGAAACTTGTGTGTTGCTCTTATAAATAATAAAGTGTACATTTACAAGTCAAAACGTGTGAATACAAACTACCAACCAGCACAATTTTTTTTGGGTCAAATATAAATACACAATAAGATTAAATCAGTCGTAGTGATAAGAGCAGACCAGTCCCTACAAGCAGCACTCGTTCACGAGTATGACGGATGAGCCAGCCATCACATTTTAGTGAGCATGCTCGACCATAAATTCTTTTTGACTTTGGGAGCCATCAATGACCCTATGGACGCCTCCACCACGCCGCTGAAAAACATGTCTCGTGACGGGTAGTTAATTGCATCATGTAAGTGTAATTTCAGATACAAATAAATGTTATTTACTCCAACTTGCAGATTCAAGTGTTGTAAATTCGAATCTAGCCTAACAAAATGTGGATTAAAGTCGCAAGTTCTAATCTGGCCGACAATAAATTACCAACCAAAAATGTTATGCCCAATTTACACTCAGCCCGAGTGGGCAGGGAAGTGAGCAGCGCGAGAGTATAAACACGAGTGGAAACACTTCCCATGCCATTGGCGCTGCCACTCGCGCTGCCCGGCGCTCCCTCGATTGTCGGTTTTTCGTGCGCGAGTCGAAGGACTGGCAGCGCGAGTGGGCCCTCTCTCTGTCTATGTCTATCTAGACAGGTAACAAAGAACAGGTGACCAAATATAAAAATTTATTTTATTAGACCTATAGAAATAACGAAGTAAGAGATTTTTGAGCTCGTTCAAATGAGACAAAAATATTAGGTTGGCAAACCCGTCTATTAATTTCAACTAACAACACTTAGTGATGGATAACATCATTCTAGAAATCATCTAGAAAATTTCCTGCCCATATAAAAGGTCTTAAATCTAGTCCCTCGGGGATTGTTGCTACCGGAGTCGATTCCAGGCCAAAGGGGCCCTGAGGCCCCGACCTGTACCCTCTTGGGGATGCAGACAGTGTAGCCAACCCTACAGTTTTAAATGTATATTTACATTTTAGAAATTCAATTCAAGTTCAAGTTTAAACGGAAAATCAAGAAGAGTTACAAATTAAAACTGACATAGAAGAGAATCTGACAGATGGAAAAATTGCAACTTTTGATTCCGAAAAAAATTTTGACAATTACATTGTTTTTTCTTGTTTTTAACGCCCTTCTTATTATATATTCTATTTATTACTAACATTAAATTATATACGATTTTACTATTTTTTAATTTGATATTTACAGTTTTTTTCAAGCATGGGGGGCTGGGGGTTATGCCCCAGAATTGATGCCGGAGTAAAGGGGTCGCGAGACCTCAACCAGTATCCCCTTGGTATATTGCGGATAACCCGGTTCATTCTAGAACTCGTTGTCGCTGAGAACAGACGCTCGACCTGGTGCTGCACTGGGTCTCGCGCTCGTCAGCCGGAGTTCACTCTCCGAGGAACTACCTAGCGAGTCCCCGTCTTCTGCATCACCGGCTCCAACTCCTGGACAAGGGAAGTAATAACCTTAAACATATATAACATTCTCGTTTCACAATGTTATTTACCATACTCCTCCAAAACGGCTTGTCTGATTTTATAAAATTTTATATGCATTTTCAGTAGGTCTGAGAATCGACTACTATCTATTTTTCATACCCCTAAGTGTAAGAAGCACTAATTATGATGGACGACTGATGCTTTGAAGCCGGCTACCGCAAGGGAAACCCTAAGTAGCGCCCGTGACTTGTGACACGGGTGTAGGTTTAAAGAGCTCTTTTAGAATGCATTAACACTCGCCTTCACTACTTGCAGCTTCCCCCCAGGCCCAACTAAGATCGGGATGAACCTATTCCTAATACAATTCACTTTAATATCCAAAACACAACCGGCACGCTCTGCACTCGTCGACTGAATGCCGCGGCTCACCCAACCAAAGAGGATTATTCAACTACCGACCCGTATTTATAGACTGAAGTCAGTGCAGTAGGTTGGTCTATAAATACTAGATGGCGCTATTTACAATATTTGTAATAATCTTTACATTGGGTACTTCATTAGTACTAAAAACAAACTACCTTCTTTTAATATATTTTTAAAATATCGGATTTTTTCTACAATAATGATGTGAATTCTAACATAAGTGATAAGGATTATTTGATATTTTACATGTAAATTAAGATGCTCTATCACCTTAATAACCAATATTATAAAATAATAATAATAAGACTTACACATTTTAAAATAACTAAGCTAACAGCCGAAGATCGGGAAATTTTTGTAAAGAATATCTCGAAAACGGAATTTAGGATAGGTGTCTCATAGTGAAATCTGTTTGAAATTATGTAAACTATACGCCTTTAACGTCAATAGGTCCACTTAACCAGTAACCCTGTATAAAATTCCCGCGTCACACTAATCCTAAACCGGCAGTTTATCAACTGCCAGACCACTGAGGCAGTCAGATGGTAGAAGTATATAATATGATTTCACCATTAATAAGATCAGCATAGTCATCATCATCAGCTGCCCCCAGCGTGCGGGTAGCGGGCCGCGGCCGTGAACGACTCCAGCGGGACCCAACATCACCCCCTGCAAAGTAGTCGAATATAAACTCTATATATAAGGGGGTAAGGATTGTTGGTAATAGGGACTGATGATCTTATTGCTAGCAATGTACCATGTCGGGTTGACCTACGTGATTCCCCCTGGAAACTATCGTGATAAATCGGATATGATATGATATATCCTTCATGAACTGCTTAATGGAGAACATGCCGAGAAATGCAACTTGTAAGGCATCCGTGCGAAGCCGGGGCAAATCGCTAGTAATTTATAAAAATAAAGAAGTATAGTAACAAAATACACAATACGATTAACCTACCATTTTCAAAATTCAAAACATCTTTATTCATGTAGGTCTAATACAGACTCTTATGATATGTCAAATCTACCGTCAGTTCGGAATGATTTCGAGATGAGAACTGACAAGAAACTCAGCTCGTATTCTTTTCAAATTAATGTTGTACATGTTTATAATAATACAGATTCATTTAAATTCAAAAATTGGGAGAATAGAGTCAGCATATGCAATTGCAAATGTACATGTTTACATATGCTATTGCAACAAACAAAAAATCTAATCAGTGTTCGTAACCTGAACAGACCAGTCCCCACAAGCAGCACTCGTACATGAGCCATGCATCATTTTAGTATTGGACACTCACCATAATACTGTCTGTCGGAGAAGTCCGAGTCAGAACGCGAAGCGTCTTCATCACGGATTTCATCGAGAGAATCTCTCGCCGCTGCCGCCATGTTACCGAACGCGCGGCGAGACTCCGCTGCGCCACCAGCTGTCTTGATCCTCAGCCGAGTCTTGGGCCTAGTGGCAGGTCGAGGCTGCTTCACCTCGCTCAAGTCTTTACCATCATCACTGGAGTCCATGTCTTCTGAATCGCTAAGTTTGCCCAGGACATCTTCCGCTTCGTATTTATGTATGAGCTGCAGTATTGCAGCTTGTTGTTCTTCTGCCTCCTATTGGTTAATCACAATAATAGGGGGGAAAGGGGATTGTTAGTAATGTGGATTGATTATCTTATTGCTAGCAATGTACCAGGCCAGGCTACTTCCACGCGGTTCCCCCTGGAAACCATCGTGATAAATTCTTGGTGAATTTGTCACGATGGGCTAACTGACCTGACCTTATGCTCATCTTATCATCCTCCACTGGTGCCCCGCCAGCGTAAACCGTTAGCGCAAACGGGTGCACCATTACATTATCATCTATAAAAAAAATCATAATAATAATAATCTCAGGACAATTCACACAGTGCCATCTAGACTCAAGTAAGCTAGCTGAAGCTTGTGATATGGGTACTGGATAACTGATACAAATACATAGATATTTTTTTTCGTAAATACATAGGAAACACCCAGACCGATACAAACAATTATACTCACGAATGCATACGTTTGTGCCGTGCGAGGAATCGAACCCGCAACTATGAGAAGTAAGGTGGTGTGCTAAACCACTAGACCTTCAAATTATATTGTGAGGATATCAACACACAAGTTTCTTGCTCATTCTTCGTGTGATGAGTCTGCGTTCCGAATGAGTGGTATAATCAAAAATATGACTATTCGAAAAAAGTGCTTGTATTGAGTTTATTTGGATAAAGATTATTTCTATTGCTATTGTAATATTTCCCTAATTACATCCTGTATAGGCGATGGGTACCATTTACCATCATGAGGCCGTTACATAATTTGCCACTGCTGTTATATAAAAAAGTTACCTCGGCCTGTGCGCTTTCCAGCACACTGAGCTGATGCTTCAAAGCCTCGACGCAGCGGTACCTCAGCACGTACTGGTCCCACAGCTGCTCGATTTCAGTCTCCAAAGCCGTCAGCTCACCTTGATACGCTGGTCTAACAACATACATGGAATATTATAAATGTTCTTTTACAGCAGATGTTCTCAAACATATTTGTGTCGTAGACCTCTTGCCATATTTTTCGGTTTTGGGTACACCCCCATTCTTACCTAGTATTGATTTCTTGTAAATTTCTAACTGTAGTAAAGTTTAGTGTTAAAAACATAAAGTAACAACAACAAGATAACCGCTGTCGTAGAACCCTTGCAGTTTGTTATAGACCCCTGGAGGTCGATATAGACCACTTTGGGAATCAATCACTTTTATAGCTACCCATCTCGGCTTCGCATTATACATGTAAAACTTCCTCTTGAATCTATCTATTTCTAAAAACTACCTTAAAATACAATGTGTAGTTCAAAAAAAGATCTAAGCTAACAGCGGAAGCGATTTCTTTTTATACTATGTAAGGATAACGAGCTCGCAGCTCGCCTTATGCTAAGTGATTACCGCCGCCCATGAGCACCCGCAATACCGGGAAATTGCAAGTGCGTTGCCAGAATTTTAAGAAGGAATAAGCTCTTTTCTTGAAGGTTTCAATATTGTATCGGTTAGGAAATACCATTACTGGTAGGTGACTCCACAATAAACACCCGCACAGTCCTAAGTGGACTGTATGGAAAGTAATGTTTCCTTTATCAGCTCCCCCCAATTTCTCCAGCAAGTAAGAATCCCAAGCACCCCTAGTCACCCCTTAGGCATATGAACGGTCTATTGAAGATTTTTCCACGCGAACCAAAAAAGTATTGTTGCTAATCCGACTCACTTGATCTTCTGTCCTGTATGCAACCTCTTCTCAGCTCTCTGCAGCTCTGCTGTTCTCTGCTCCAACTTAGCATCGAGTGCAGACTCACTAGCTGCAACATTGTCGATCTGTTCTCGACCCTTCGCTACTTTAGCGGAAACGGTCCTTGAAACTTTTGATTGTGTAAGTGCCTGTGTTAAACCTAGTATTGTATCGAGTGGAGCAGCTGTGCCAGAATCTCGCTCTACAGTCGCAGGTACATGCTTTGCATCCCTTATTTATTTCCATACAGTCCACTTACCTTTATCCACTCCCCCCAATTTCTCCAGCAAGTAAGAATCCCAAACACCCCTAGCCACCCCTCAGGCAGATGAATAGTTTAATGAAGATTTTTCCACGCGAACCAAAAAAGTGTTATTGCTAATCCGACTCACTTGATCTTCTGTACCGTATGCAACCTCTTCTCAGCTCTCTGCAGCTCAGCTCTTCTCCGCTCCAGCTTAGCATCGAGTGCAGACTCGCTAGCTGCAACGTTGTCGATCTGTTCTCGGCCATTTGCTACTTTACCGGAGACAGTTTCTAAAGCGCGACGGAGACACGACTCCATGGCTGCCATGTCCAGAGGGCGAGAAAGAGCTTGCTCACGTTGTTCCTAGTGACAGATAATAATAATTATAACGATGGACAATTCACACAGCGCCATCTAGCCCCAAGGTAAGTAGAGCTTCGTGGGTCTTAAAATAAGTAGAGCTTTGCTTTTATGATTGGTGAAATGTTAGAGTTAATAAAAATAGTATATGCTCAGTTAACAAACTATGGAGATATGAAGACGATATTTAAGACTAGTTTAGACTTGTTATTGTACTTCATTAAATTGGAAAAGAGACTAAAAAAAACTATAGACACGTCACGACGTGTTTACGAATCAAGACTTTATTGTATAAATTTTAAACGTGTGCTGTATTTAAAAGCAGTTATAATGGGTACCAGAGTAGTAATACATTTTTTTTTTAATAAATAAATAACTTCTGAACCATTAACATAGCGTCATCTAGTCCCACGATAAGCAGAGCTTATGTTATGTGTACTAGACAACTGATATAAATACCTGGATAATTTAACTTTTTTTTTTTAAACACATAATATAAATGGAAAACAGACCGATCCAAAAAAAGTCATAGTAATGAATACTAGGTACTAGACTAGTAATGCATTTTTTTTTTTAAATATATAATACAAATGGAAAACACCCAGAGCGATACAAACAAACATACTCATGAACAAATGTTTGTGACGTGCGAGGAATCGAACCCGCGACCATCGGAAGTAAGGCGGTGTGCTAAACCGCTAGTCCACCGAGGTCGTCAATTGGGCCAGTGTGTTTGGTATTCCAACTTTTAAATAGTAGGTATATAATACTTATGTTTGCCAGATACCCCCTCCGATCGATCCCCCGTCCAATTTAACGGGGATCGATATTACGACGGCCTGAGCCGAGGTTCGAACCCCTAGCGGTGCCCTCAGACTAAAGTCGTATCCATCAGGCGGGAGTTGGCCTTCAGCCGCTCCATAAGTCCTTCCTTTGGTTTGGAGTGCCGTCAAATTCAAATTCAAATTCAAAATATCTTTATTCATGTAGGTCTATTACAGACTCTTATGATATGTCAAATCTACCGTCAGTTCGGAATGATATCGAGATGAGAAGAACTGACAAGAAACTCAGCTCGTATTTTTTTTCAAATAATAGTGGAACATGTTTATGATAAATACAGTTGTTAAAATTCAAATTTGGGAGAATAGATCATCATCTGCACTCGCCCCCTATCGTCCGGTGAAGCTGTAAAGGCCAGCTGCGGCCAACAGCATTAGAGTAGTCCGAAAAAAAACCTTATTCTCTGCTTCCTTAGCAAGTAGATCGTACAGGAAAGCACCCTTCGCTGTGATGTCGGTTGCCAAAGCACGCGCTTGTTTAATTTCTGATAACTGGAACAATAAAAGGAAATACATACTTATGACAGTGAAATTACCCCTCCGATCGATCCCCCGTCCAATTCAAACGGGGATCGAAATCACGACGGTCTGAGTCGAGGTTCGAACCCCTAGCGGTGCCCTCTGACTAAATTCGTATCCGTCGGACGGAAGTTGGCCTTCAGCCGCTCAATAAGTCCTTCCGCGTGTTTTCTTTTTATGATTGATAATGGAATGGTGCACCCGCCTGCGCTAACGGTTTACGCTGGTGCACCAGTGGAGGATGATAAGATGAGCATGAGGTCAGGTCAGTTAGCACATCGTGACAAATTCACCAACAATTTAACACGATGGTTTCCAGGGGGAACCGCGTGGAGGTCGACCTGACATGGTACATCGCTAGCAATGGGGTTATCAATCCACATTTCTAACAATCCCCTTCCCCCTCCTTCCCCGGGTTTGGAGTGCCATCTGCACTCGCGCCCTATCGTCCGGTGAAGCTATAAAGGCCAGCTGCGACCAACAGCATTAGAATCCGAAAAAAAAAATTAAATTACGGAGACATGACCGTAATCCTCTGGCACAGGGAACTCCGAGCATTACAGACTCGTTTTCTGGTTTCTGGTGGTGCTGTTTACTACTTTCCATGAGGTGGGTCAGCTTGCTTGCTATCATGGTTATGAAATAATTGGTTTTTGAAAGGTTATTGTTGCAATAAAATCTGTACCATCTGAATGAGAGAGTTTTATAGCGTTACGATATCCGTATTGACAAACAGACAAAATAATTCTCCATTCTTATTTATTTATTCATTAAATCAACCCTTTTTATTTATAGTGTTTAGTTATTCCTTGTATATAGTGGTACTGAGAATAACTGTTGGAAGTGCAAATATAATAATAATATAAATATAATAAAATAATAAATAATAATAATAATAATAAACTATTAAATAGATCTATTACAAAAAGCCGTCATACTAAACACATGCCGAATAGTAAGAAAATTTCTATCTTCATCACATAACTCATCCATGCTTGGCTAAGGCCCGCGTGTTTCAATATATTACCCCCGTAAAAAGGGAGGTATAATTCATATAATATATGTATGTAATAATAATAATAATAATCTCAGGACAAGTCACACAGCGCCATCTAGACCCAAGTTAAGCTAGCTAGAGCTTGTGTTATGGGCACTAGATACAGTTATAAATACAGTTATCGAACCCGCGACCATTATACCGAGGTTGTCAAATAAATAATAATAATAATAATATAAAAAAATATATCTATGTAAAATATATGATATCAGTATTATATATACATAATTTATTAGATACTCTATTATATATTATCTGGCAGGAATAAGTTTTTTAGCGGACAACGTTACAATTTTTTTTTGTAAATACATACATATTATACATAGAAAACACCCAGACCGATACAAACAATCATACTCATGAATACAAATCGTATCCATAACACAAGCTTTAGCTAGCTTAACTTGGGTCTAGATGGCGCTGTGTGAATTGTCCTGAGATGATTATTATTATTCTATTCTGTTTATATTTTGTTAATGCCCTTTCCCCTTCTTCTAGTCGGTTGCAACAGTGTGTGTGTGTATGTGTGTGCCCGTGAGTGTGTGTGTACTTATTGTGGCTGCGACAGGTATTTATTATTATTAACATCATAGGTCAAGACATTTGCTAACATCATAGGTCAAGACATTAGAATCCACTTGGGTGTCATCTGGCGGCGGTGACTCCAGCGCGGTCCGCAGCAGTGCAGCCACCTTCAGCATCTCCCGGACCGCCCAGCCGTCTGCACCGTAAATCTTCTTACCGTTTAACTTCAAGTTTGCTCGCGAGTGCTGAAACGTTCATAAAAAACTAGCTGTGCATTGCGGTTTCATCTGCGTGAAATTTATAGATAGATAGATAGATAGATAATTGATTTATTGCCAACACAACACAAATAATACAATTTACAATAAGACACAAAACAAGAGATAAGTAATAACATGGAAGTTGGCAATAGGAGCTGCCTCAGCTGTTGCTGATATAAGCACAACCTTAGTGAGGTGCACCTATACAGCGCTGGTATTCAGTCAGCCCCCATTACTCATAAAAAAAAAACTAAGATGCGGGTTTTTTACTACATACAGATACATATAATTTAAACACAAAAAAATATATTAAATAAGATCTAGGATACACAAATATAAATATATATAGAATGAATTACAATATTCAATGCTCACAAAAACCGAAATCAGTTACAATAACAGTATCAAAAGGAAAAAAAAATTGTGAAGATAAAAAGAAAAGCCAATCCGTTTCACCACTCACAATCACAGTATGTAATAGTATATACGAGTACAAGCCCATGGCACCCATAGAGACTAGCTATGATACACGTGAAATATATAGCCTTTGTGTTATTCTGATGTAATATTCGCAGCATTTATAAACATATCAAGTGTTATGGTGTTAGCCATATCCTCATCCCTTTCCCGCGCACAGTATGTCATGCGGTCCCGACGACCTCGTCTACTACCGTGAATGGTGACATTCGTCCCAACCGCTCCGCTTTAAATTAATTAATATAATATTGACATTAACAATAAGTAATGTGTGCGAGCCTGTGTTATTCATGAGTGCAGCAGCTGTGCAATAATAAACCCGCTCTACAGTCGCAGGTACGTACTGTGCGCCCCCTTTATTTCATTATTACCCCCATTTCTCCAGTATTACTGTAAACTTTCATCAAAATTCGTTTAGTAGTTTTTGCGTGAAAGAGTAACAAACATCCATCCATCCATTCACCCATACCACAAACTTTCGCGTTTATAATGTTAGTAAGATACATGCCAGAACATTACCATATTGAAATTTAATTTAAATTAAATAATTCATTAACTTATGAACATTTCTACAGCCTATATTGTTTTTTTAAAACTAGCTATACCCGTGACTTGGTATGCGTGGAATTTAACTTTATTTTTCTAAAATAAAAGTAGCTGAAGTTTCACCTTATTGCATCAGCTGTCTGCCAATAAAAGTCTCGTCAAAATCGGTCCATCCATTTCTGAGATTGGCCGGCACAAACAGACAGACAGACAGACAAAAATTGTAAAAAATGTTATTTTGGTGTATGTACCGTATTTATATTCATATACATGTAGTAAGAAACGGTTATTTCAATATTACAAACAGATACTCCACTCCAATTTTCTTTTTATATATAGACTAGCTGTTCCCGCGACTTCGTCCGCTTGAAATTTAACTTTATTTTCTAAAATAAAAGTAGCCTAAGTTACTCCTTATTATATTACATCAGCTACCTGCCAAAAAAGTCCCGTCAAAATCGGTCCCGAGTGTCTGAAATGGTCAGACACTCCAATTTTATTTATATGTATAGATTATGATATCTAGGTAGTGAGTACACCGGTGAAGAAATTGTACTATTTAATGTACATTAGTAAGTTTATTTGGTAGTGTACTACATAGCTTATTAGTAACACATTATATAGTACAGTCGGAGTGGATTATTTTACACTTAACTTAAATCTATGTTGTCTAAAGAGGTACTAATGGAAGGATCTCGAGTGTTGACAGAAATAATACAAGTGTAGGCACAATATACAAAATCTCACAAACAAGGCAGCTGCGTGTGTGACAAGAGCCACCCTTTGCTCCACGGTGTCTCGACCACCGTCCAGCGCCGCGTCGGGCTCCACGCGCGCCGCCAGCCACCGCAGACACTCCTCCACCAGCTCCCAGTTGGGAGTCCTGAAGCTCTCCAGTGATATCGGCCGGGGGAAGCCCAGCGCTCGCATTGCCTCGCTAAAGTCTTAGTTAGGAGAGAGGATATTGTCAGTAATGTGGACTAATGATCCTATTTTTTTTTATGGATGATAATGGAATGGTGCATCCACCTGCGCTAACGGTTTCCGCTGGCGGTACACCAGTTCAGAATTATGAACTGAGCATGAGATCAGATCAGTTGTCCCATCGTAATAAATTCCAGGCGAATTTATTTTTCCAGGTTTGACCTCCTCGGAGGTTAACCTGACATGGTACATTGCAATGGGGTCAAAAATCACGAAATATCAAAAGCGGAAGGGGGTGTGTAGTAAGATATGTATTTATTTTTTCTGTTTTTATTTATTTTTTTATCAAAAACAACGTGCAACCTAGTCTACATATTTTTACCATAGTATTTATTTTCAGAGTAAAATAGAAATACAGTATATACCTGTATTTAAACATGATATTCTCTATTTTAAGATACTTTGCAAGCAATAAAAATACACGTAATATTGGGGGGAGGGGGGGAGCAGGTTGTCCTAAACCTCACTATGTCTCACCAAGGTAGAGGGAGGAAGGGTTAAAAGATGCTAAAAAGATCACGTGATTAATGGACGGCCTCTTAGCACAGATTGCCAGCAGGAACTAGTCCTACATAAATTCTGTTAAATAGTATTTTTATTTTTGTGGAATAATATTTTTGTTCACTTACTTCTGAGATCTCTGTATGACATATTGTTTCCAATCTAATCAATGCAGCCACTAGTTAGTAAATAACTACACCTACACAATCGTGCTTATTACAGTAATTAATTTTTGTTGACATCAACTTGTCTCCATGGCAACGGCATAGATAACTTTAGACTTGTACAGAATTTTTCGCGCGGTTTTTAAAATAAACATCAATGGGCTGTATGGGCTTAGACTCTTTGCCTTTCCTATAAGTTTTTTTTTCCATATTCGTCCATCTCCTTTTTAGTGATGGAACAGGCAAAGATCCTTAGACCGTACAGCCTAGTCTACGTTTATACTTCTTCATATTTGATCCTTTCCTATAAGGATAAGTAAAACAAAAAAAATAAACATAAAACTTTTTTTTGTTCGATTTTTTTCCTCTCAGGGAAAGGACATGCAGTCCATATAGCTATAGTCTACGGTTGTGTTGTAATAAATTATAATACTGGCAATATTTTTTTATGACGGGTTGGGCGACTGCTAGGTGTTTTAGATTTCGTTTAATAACCAATGTAAAAAACTTCTTTACATATAGCAAGTCATAACATACAGTAATTAATATTTATATAAATTGAATCCAAATACCATTACGTAATAAATAAAATTACATTAATTAAATACGTACACAATATAACTAATATTCGTAGTTATTATTACGACATATTTATATTTAGGTCTAAATACTTGGTAATATTATAAAAAGGATGTTTTTCAAAAAAGATTTTATTTCAGTTTTGAATTAATTAAAACTTATTTTCATAATAATTAGACAATTCACACAGCCATCTAAATACTACTTCACAATAGTCTAAAGTCTGTTAGTCTAGAAAGATACATATACATAGATAATAAAACCTACATATATATTACACCCAGACCGATACAAACAATCATCCACGTGAATACTAATGTTTTGGGGTTCATAGTAGGTAGTTTATTATACATTTTGATTTTTATACTAATGCCATGTTTAAAAGTTTTATCAAGTTCTTGTTTTAGGCAACTATATAACCTGTATATTGTGGTCGTTTTTCAAACACATACGTCAGGGACAAGAATGAAGGATTTTTATAGGAGCGATGGTTAACTCTTCAGGATAGACTGTATACTTTCAAATTAAATAATACTAGAAGAAATATAATATTCAACTTGGAAAATGAAAAGTTCTGCTAAACAAATGCAACACGACATAGTCGACGCTATAAAATGTATCAATTTATTTTCTATCTGATTCTTCTTTTTTTTTTTCGGACATATATAATAGGTGTTGTTAGCATATATAAGGAAGGACTTATGGAGCGGCTGAAGGCCAACGACGGATACGACTTGAGTCTGAGGGCACCATTATTGTTCGAAACTCGACTCATGCTTACATCGACGTTTGAATTGGACGGGGGATCGTTGAACTGGGGACATTCTTCAGTGAACAAACATTAATTAACCCTAGATGTTTAAAGTCAGTTGTTCACATAAGTGTTTTTTAAAAATAATTAATAAGATTTTTAATTAAAACATGTTTATTTAGAGAGAATACTTCATAATAGCCTCCAGTCTCTTAAAATCATCTACTACTAGTAAAATTACAATTTGTAATCTAAATATATATGAACTACTAAATGATTTTAGGGGTTCAGGGATTAGATAGATAGATAGATAAGTTCTTTATTCAACAATTACAAACACATAGCATACATGAGATACATTTTATAAATAGAAATAAAGTTTACAAATTAAATAATACAGAAATATAATATTACAAAATAAAATAAAATGAAGATGGCTATACATACTACGTACATATATAATTGTTGACATATAGGCTGGCTAAACGCACCGTGAAGACATTATTGTTCCCGACCTGGATTTTGATTAATTCTACTACTAAGGGGATAAATTAACGGAGCGGAGCTACGGGCAAAAGCTAGTCAAATATATAGCGTCATATTTATCAACAATTTGTAATCTTATTGATGTACCTATTTTATTCCAATACAAAGATTTCATCTATACATATAAATAAAATTGGGAGTGTCTGTTTGGGAGTGAGTGTTTGTTTGTCAAGGGGATGAAATAGGGAATGAAAGTTTGTGTGAAACTTTGTCAATATTAAACCGATCGGGCTGAGACTTTGCATGCATAAAGCTACTATGACGTAGGCATCCCCAAAGAAAGGATTTTGATAAATTCCACCCCTAAGGGCGGCTGAAGATGCGAGCAAAAGCTAGTTTACACATAAAATGTACATTGTATAGACAGGACAGTGTTAAGATTATAATAATTTTTAAAATACGTCTTAAGTATATAATTTATACAAAATTACTTATTTGTAATATATATTTTTTAAATTGGGCACACCAAGCAGTATATAAGTTTGGTACCAACTAACTACTACTCTTATGAATGACTATGTTGATAGTTATAATTATTTACATTAATTATTGTTGCGAACTATTTTTTATACCTTTTTTTATAATTTATGTTTTTTATATATTGTTTTTATATGACATAAGTTAATTACACAATATTTTTACGACAATACCGGTGCTGTTTTCTTTGCTCGTCGTCTTAGTCTCCATCCTTCACACATATCTTAGAATCAAACAACAAAAATTTAAAAAAAAATTATAGACTTTCAATTTATGTACACCAAATGTCAAGTATGCTTATTCTAAATTCGAATAGTCTATAAGTAACATAAAAACAGATAAGTCAAATATTATATATTCAATTGCATTTTTTCTTATAAGTAATAAACACTTATAACATCATTTGTAGTTATATTTGCCCATAAAAAATCATTTTCCAAATCTATACAGATAAATAAATATAAAACGTGGTAAGATCCCGTGATTTTTACTAATTATACGTATAAATACCAAATCTATTAATACATATAAATATTGTCTGTTTGCAATATTGAAATAACCGTTTTTTACTACATGCAAATGAATATAAATACGGTACATGCACCAAAAAAACACTTTTTACAATTTTTGTCTGTCTGTCTGTCGGTCTGTTTGTTCCGGTTAGTCTCTGAAGTGGCTGCACCGACTTTAATGGGACTTTTATTTGTAGATAGCTGATGTAATAAGGAAACTTAGGCTACTTTTATTTTAGAAAAATAAAGTTAAATTCCACGCGGACGAAGTCGCGGGTACAGCTAGTGACAAATAAAATTAGTTAACCCAATGAGTAAATAAACACTACGGTTCGAAGTTAACATTCAGATAGAGTATACTACGTACAATATTTTTTTTTCCAGCTACTCTATGCTGTTGGCCGCAGCTGGCCTTTACGGCTTCACTCGACGGTATAGAGTAAGTGCAGATGGCTAATTCAAACATGGGGAAGGACTTATATAGCGGATAAAGGCCACCTCCTGCCTGGCGGATACCACTTTCCCAGATGGTACCGCTTGTGGTTCGATCCTCGGCTCGGGCAGTCCTAATTTCGATGTCCATTTTGTTTAGATGATCGATCAAAGGGCCCGCAATCTTAGATTTTTTTAGTTATTAGAACACGAAGTTATACAGAATCTTGCTAATACTTTTATTACAGGCGTTACTGAGACCAATTATTCTAAATATATATAACTCAAAGGTGACTGACATAGTGATCTATCAACATCAGCTATCTACCAATAAAAGTCCCGTTAAAATTGGCGCAGCCATTTCAGAGATTAGCCGGAACAAACAGACCGACAGACAGACAGACAAAAATTGTACTGTTTTTTTGGTGCATGTACCGTATTTATATTCATATGCATGTAGTAAAAACGATTATTTCAATATTACAAACAGACACTCCAATTTTATTTATATGTTTACATAAATCTAACTGAAGGTTTACGCCATGAATCGACCGATGTAGAAACTTTCAAGCATTTCCTTGTTTTATATTCTTCTGTCATTTCATTTTTGTGACTTAATGAGAATTGAATATAATTTATTTAACGAATCAATAAAGAGAATAATTATTGTATTAGTATCAAATGAAAATATTTACCTTAAGTGTTGTTGAGGTGAAACAATAGGAATGACGATACAATGTAATTATTAAATTCAAAATTCTTATTTGGCATGGCATGTTTATACTGATTAAGCATATAACATAACAGTTATATCGGTAGTAACACAATAATAAAAAAGCAAATAAAAATTATCACTTCCATATTCCAAAACCCAGGTCTGGAAAAGGATGATCACAATAGATCTATGTAGATCGCAGGTCCAAGCACCTGTTATTTTATTTTATTGGGGGGATTGGGCTATTCCAAACCCCCCAAACAATAAAATAAAATCTCAAATTGGGTAGTCAGAGATATAGTCATTGTAGGCGACACGTAAATATAAAGAGTAGGTGCGAGCGAGCGCGACTGCAGCGCCTCTCGCGTTTTTCTTGCAGTACTAATCGGTTGCCGCGCTTTTTGTTATCGCTTCGGCTTGCGTGCACCTCACATTTTACATCCTCAACAGTCATGTATTGACGTTGATGTAAAACCATCACCATACTTCTAATACTTGATAAAAAATAAAAGCAAACAAATAAAACATAATGGAATATGAATAACATCTAATTATTTATACTTTATACAACTATCAACACAGTCAAACACTTTAAATATAGGTCGCATTGAAATATTGGGATGAAATCACAGCAATATTAATAAATCATTGCCTAATGTTTTGTCAAACGATATCAAATGTTTTGTGGTATATATTTAATGTAATGTAAGATATCTTTACACGTACGCTCTTCCCCTACGTTCGATCCCCCGTCCAGTCCAAACGGGGATCGAAATTACAACAGCATGAGCTGAGGTTAGAACCTCCAGCGGTGCCCTCAGACTAAAGTTGTATCCGTCAGGCAGGAGTTGGCCTTCAGCCGCTCCATAAGTGCTTCCGCGGGTTTGGAGTGCCATCTACGCTCGCCCTTATTTGCGTTATTAAGTCTACACCAGGGATGTTAGGGAGCTCCGTAATCGTAAACTATCGGATATCCGATATAAAAAAAAAATCGTAACCGTAACTGAATCTGAAAAGTTTCGGATATCGGATAGGGGCGGAGCCTAATTGAGACACGTTATGTAACCATTTTATTACCTAATTGCATTTTGCTTTTCAAATTCCTTAAAAAATAATATCCGTAATCGAAATTATCCGAAACTGACGGATAATCCGAAATAATTTGTTATCCGCATCCATATCCTATATAATAATCATTCCTATATATGAAACCTATCCGTATCGGACATTTCAAATCCATAACATTCCTGGGCTACTCCCATATTGCGACACCAGTTCGGCTCCGAATGAGGCATCATTAGGCAAGGAATAGAGTTCAAATATAGCTTGAAAAACTTTTGTTGATTATTCGACTAAACTGGCCGATTGTAAAAATATTACACTGCATTCAAATTAACATTATTTCAATGTCCTTTAACTATGTATGCCCAATTTAATAGAAAAATCATAAATCTATCGCATTTGGCGGTTGTCTCAGCGCGCGCTTCAGAGATTCCTCCCGCTTGATCGCCACGCGCAGCCGGGACGCTTTCAGATGTCTGAAAAACAGAGCAGATATTTTTATTTCTATTAGTTTTTATAATTGACTGTTGGGTTCTGTAATAGTTCTGTAAGCATTAGGTATGGTGCAAACTAAATAAGCTAGATTACTAACTATGCTCTTATCACTATGATTTAATCTTATTGCATGATTATATTTATAGTGCTTGTTGGTAGTTTGTAAACGTTTCGGCTTGTAAATGTAACTTGGACTATCAACCAGCGCCACTAGTTTCTTAAGCAGAGTTCTTCTTGTGATGAGACTAGACAACTGATATAAATACACAGCTTTCCTTTACAACGAGTGGTAGATAAAAAAAACATTTTTATCATTGTTAACAACAGAACTATTCAAAAGTGCTTAAATTAAGTTTATTTGAATAAATGGATTTTCTAATTCTATTCTATTCTATTCTATGGCATATTTATAATAAACATTAAGTGGACTAACAACGCAGTAAGCCATTGCACTAATTGAACCTTGTAAGGTTACATGTGCAAGCTTGAATGCGTGAAGAGAACTCCGTGAGATGCCAAGTTCTTGACAACGCCTTGATATAAATGGATGGGTTCCTTCAATGCTAGTCACTTTACATTTTGAAAATTAAATAAGACCTCGTTTTTTCTATTAATATATTTCATTTTTCTCTTTTCTTATTAAAAAATATAATGTCGAACATGGAAATTTTTATCATGGATAAGTTAACAACATTGAATCCATTTTCAAAGTGAAGATTCAATTGAATTTTACTTTGAAAATGGATGGTCAATTGTTGCAACGCAAAAATATATTATGAAAAAAAGCCATTTTAATGTAAAGTGACTTCTGGGTCACCCTGTACATATTTCTTTTTTGTAAATATGTATACACAAGGGGTACAAAGTTTTTGTTTTACGTATTAATATATATGAAACTATGGTATAATATTAGAAATAGAAATAGAAATAAACTTTATTCAAATAAACTTAATATAAGCAGTTTTGAATAGTCAAGTGTTTTGATTCTACCGCTCATTCGGAATGCAGACTCTTCACAAGAAGAATGAGCAAGAAACTTGTGTGGCTCTTTTAAATAAATGTTGATATACTTATATTTAATTAACAACACGGATTAAGCATGCGGTAATCAACATAGAAACCGCTACGCACTTAATGTCTGTTCAATCAGATAACATTGTCAGCGCTATGAAATTTAAAGATATTTACGACAAAAACATTATTATCATTTATAAATTCTTCAATTTTATAATAAGCTTTTTTAAAAAGAAAATATTTTATAAAACATTTGAATATTAATATTTGAAGCCGAAACTTTATCAAGACTGATACAACCAAGCTTATTCATGAATACAAATGATTGCATTGTATGAAAAAATTTAAGACTGCTGATACCCTAAAAGATTAAAAGATGTGATATTATATCATCATCATCATCATCGCAGCCCGGAAGACGTCCACTGCTGGACATAGGCCTCCCCCAAAGATCTCCACGACGATCGGTCCTGCGCTGCTCGCATCCAATGCCTTCCCGCGATCTTGACCAGATCGTCGGTCCACCTTGCTGGAGATATTATATATCTTGCAGTAATCTTGAGGACCAGATCTTCCAGCTGGAGTGGACACTACTATCAGTTCCCACCAAGGGCGGATCCCGCTTTGGTGCCAGGTGATTGAAGATAGAAGAATAGAAAATACCTCTGTCTAATTCTTTCTTCAGTTTCAGGCGACACTTCACGTTTGGTGACAGCTGCGTCTCTGATCATGGCGCGCAGCTTCTGCATGCAGTCAGCCAGGTTTAATTGCTGGGACCGGGTCACATCAGAACGGATGATGATGTAGCCATCTCTTGTTAATTTCTTTCCATGCTGCAACATTTTATTAATAACTAGCTGTACACACGACTTTGTCCGCGTGAAATTTAACTTTATTTTTCTAAAATAAAAATAGCCTAAGTTACTCCTTGTTACATCAGCTACCTGCCAAAAAAGTCCCGTCAAAATAGGTCCATCCATTTCAGAGATTAGCCTGAACAAACAGACAGACAGACAAAAATTGTAAAAAACGTTATTTTGGTGTATATACCATATTTATATTCATATGCATGTAGTAAAAATCGGTTATCTCATTATTACAAATAGACAATCCAATTTTATTTATATGTCTAGATGTATAGATAATGTCAGGACAATTCACACAGCGCCATCTAGACCCAAGGTAAGCTAACTAAAGCTTGTGTTATGGGTACTAGACAACTGATACAAATATAATACATAGATATAATATTTATTTTCATAAATCATACTCATGAATACAAATGTTTGTGCCGTGCAAGAAATCGAACCTGTGACCATTGGAAGTAAGGTGGTGTGCTAAACCACTAGAAACCACCAAGCCCCTCAATCTAAATCTCACATTAAGTTATATTGCATTCTTAAATTTACAAGTATGTATATATATAAAACATACATACCAATTCTAATAATTTCTCTCTGATCTCTGGATGTATCCAATCAGCCTACATATTCATATATATATACCTCATACACCATTTGTGTGACAACCTGTAAATATAACAAACAACAATGATTATACTATAGTATTGTTATACACAGCTGTGATAAGACCAATGCTCAAAAGAGACCTTGATTTGGTGGACAAGGTCGAAACCCACGACCACAGTCAACAAACTAAGGTCCTTTCAAAGACTTGCATGATTGCAATCACAGAAAAAAAAATAAAAATAAAAATAAATCACCATGAATACAAAACAGCAAGAAATAGCCTGTGACAATATAACACCCCTGGATTTGTAAACCACTAGAAACCAGCCAAGCTGCCTCAATCTAAATCTCACATTAAGTTATATTGCATTCTTAAAACCAAATAGTATATATATAAAACATACATAGCAATCTAATAATTTCTCTTGCATCTCTGGATGTATCCAATCAAACTTCAGTTTGAACCTCATTTAACTTTGTGTACTGTAAGTATATTATTTTTAATGAACAAAAGAACAAACCAATCTCTCTAAATTATCTAAAAATAAAATAGCCACAATACACATAACGGTTCACTACATGAACAGTTTACATGGTAAACTTAAACATAAAAATACTGACATAACAAACAATTCTATTTTTTGTGACATAAATACTATGACTGCAGATTTAAACTGCTCACAAAGACAAAGGGAAAGCAATCAGAATTAATAATTGTTCAACAGAAAACAAACAACAGATTAATAATCGTTAATTATACAATTATTTTTGGATAAAGTATAATATTGATATTGTCTGTTTCCATCCAGTGGATAAAGAGAGCATAGTGGTTCAATTTAAATAATTATAACGTTGTCAGCTGCTTCAATAGAAAGTCAGTTAACAGAGGCGGGTCTATGATAATTGCAAGAAATAATATAACAAACAACAATGATTATACTATAGATCCACTGAGAAAAAACCAAAGATGAACAAACCACCGATTGTAAACAATCAAAGTGGATTCAGAACAAATCAAATGACAAAATAATAAATTATTCATGTAGGTAAAAACTATGATAGGGACAATAACGGGCCACTGTCTTAAATGACATTTGTACACAAATCTACAGACAGTCCCCTATGCCGGGGCTGCTTTGTAGCCGAGGAATGACGTAATCCTGGAGATGAGAAGCTGACAAGACAACATTAATCATGTGAATCCTCGGAACGGTGAGGTCGCTCCGAGAAGGGGACACCAGGAGACTTCTGCGCTTCTGGGAGGAATCACGAAAGCCTGGCTCTACACGCACAACGGCCCGAATGAGAGGCTAATTGCGGAAAATGGAGTCCAACCGACATTGACATTGACATTGACTATAGTATTTAAAAAACTTCTTAGCATGTCAATTTTCAAATTCAAATTCAAATTCAACATATCTTTATTCATGTAGTCTATTACAGACTATTTTATCATAGTCCTTAATTTCAGAGTAAAATTGAATTATAGTTTATATTTAAAGATGATATTCTAAAAATTTTAAGATTCTTTGCAGGCACTAAAAATGTGATGTTGGGGGGTGGGGGAGGGGGGGGTTGTCCTAAACCTCACTATGTCTCACAGAGCGAAAGGGGGGTTAAAAGATGCTAAAACAGATCCTGTAATTAATGGACGGCCCCTAATGATGGGAAATCACAATAATTGTAAAATTATGTCTGTATGTACATAAATAATAATAATATTGTTGTATATTTCCTATCAAGTTTGTATTAACACAGCACATTGTAGACAGAGTGGGAAACAGCAAAATTTAAATAGAAATAATGTTTATTCAAATAAACTTAATACAAGCACTTTTGAATAGTCATATTTTTTATTCTACGGCTCATGCAATTAGCATAAAACAAATTACTAACTTTAGTGAAACTGCATTTAGACAAAATTACGACAAGACCTGACATGTTAATTGTTAGTTTTTTTTAGAGGGTGACTGTAGAATGGAAGTAGAAAGAAGTAAGAACGAGATATGGACCGAGGATGTCTTAGATTGGTATCCAAGAGAACAAAATAGAAAACAAGGGCGATAAAAAAAGAGGTGGGAAGATGATATAAGGGCAGTGGCGGGACCAACATGGAGAGGGAAGGCGTTGGACAGAGGAGCCTGGAGTCTTTTGGAGGAAGCCTGTGTCTTGGGAGAAGCTGATGATTGTCAGCACAAATGCTATAAATAAAAACAAAATGGATTGGTGCCGTAACGGTTTACGCTAGAGGAAGATAGTATGAACATGAAGTCAGATCAGTTAGCCCAACATGACAAATTCACTGGGAATTTATCACGACACTTTCCAGGGGGAACCGCATGGAGGTTTACCTGACTTGGTACATTGCTAGCAATGTGATCTTTAGTCCACATTATTAACAATTCCTTTCCCCCATAATTTTTAGTGTTCACATGTCAAAATCATAGACATCACATGATCTATAGTTGTTGTTATTATATATGGTATATAACAACATGCCATGAAGGGGGATATAAGGGGATTGTTAGTAATGTGGTCTTATAGCAATGTACCATGTCAGGTTGACCTCCACGCGGTTCCCCCTGGAAATACATAAAGTTATATGTAATGGGCTAACTACCTGACTTCATTATCTTATCATTGCCCCACCAGCGTAAACCGTTAGCGCAGGCTGCACCATTCCACTATCATCCACAAAAAAAAAACATGGCTATGACTATCAGACCTAAATACAAAAGTTATTAATAATACCTTATTAACATTCTGTCCGCCTGGTCCTGAACTCGCACTGTATGTAATGTCCAATTTTTCAATGGGAATGAAACCAGAAAACTTTTCTTTCGGGTCTGGAGTCTGGAATTAATTACAGATTTAGAATCAATGTAAATTTTATATTTATAAATCGTATTATAAATTATCTAATTAATTACTTACAAAAGAAGGAGTTGTGAGCTTCAAGGAACTGTTAGGATATAAGGTTTCCAGAGAAATGGAACTTTTATAACCTAAAGGCCTCATTAAGGTTGTATAAAATACATTTTGGGCCAATTTCTGCATGAAAAACAATCTTGAAGAGGTTAGCGCCATAGTTTTTTATTACACTAAGAGTTTAGAAAGAAATATGTAACTAAAAACTATTTTGCATAATTCAATTAAAATCAAGTTTCAGTTTTATATAACAAAATAAAACAGTTTAAGTGATAATTTATAATATTTCGTCTTTTAAAATTTCAATAATTTTATTTGACTGATTGTGATTGATTGATTGACAGCTTGCCTCTCGCTAGGTTAATGATTGAAGCTGGTTTCAGTCTCATTGTCAGTATAATTATCAATGTCTAAATTGTAGCTGTCAAATGTCTCAACTAGTTTTCTCTGTTACTTATTTAGTGAGGTAGCAATGAAATGATGATATACAGCTGTACATTTGTTTTATATGCAATACATTTTTTTCCAAACCTCTGATTAAATGACTACAGAATATTACATATTATTTATTCAAAAATTCTAAAAAAGTCGTACTTATAAAAAAATTCGAGCTTAAGAACCTACTTCTATATATATGGTAACTCAGGGCAAGAACATGGTTAGTTTCAGTTCGGCATGCAGTATTAGAATATATTCTATTAAATTAGTTTTTACAAATTAATCGTTTATATTTCAATTAATCATCGGAACAACGACACACACAACAAAACTTACCGCCACATTCCACATGAATTCTCTGCATTAACTAGTTTTTCAATCAACTTACGAGTTATAAATCATCGTTGAAATCTGTTCTGAGCTATGTTCTCAGGATGACTCAACTTGTCTATTAAAAAAAATATGGTGGTATCTCTCTAGTTATTAAAAAAAAAGAATAAAATGTAGGTTCGAAGACTTTTATCTATACAGCTACAAGGTGATGAACTCGAAAAAAATTTGAATCTTCTACAAAACGAATATGAAGTGCTATAAAATTCTAATTACTAAAAAATAGTAAAATAATGATAACGAGCCATATTTTAAGTCGCTATGCCGAGCCGCCATATTCACAGTTTTTGTGGTAAACCAACAAAATTATTGGTTTTAATTCTCGCGGTGAAAAACACGAGACGTAAATGCGCGCTCGCGTGTCACGCTCCAGATAATTTAATTAGGATCTCGTTCCGCTCGGGGGAGCCACCTCACGTTTCTACAAGAATATTTAGTCAACAATAATTTATAACTACATTTTGACACGTTCGCAGCGATTCTTGTCATCGTCGATTACGATTCAGCCCCTTTATCTATAGAAGTGGCAAATCTGTCATGGCCGCACGGATGAGAGGGAACGAGACGCAGCATGTTGCCGTCTTCTTCTGTCGCATATTGCTGCTGCATGGCAATAAATTCGTTAAGAGGCATTTACACGACTCAATCTCAGCTTGCTAGTTAGCACCAGAAAATGTTACAGATGCTAACGGTCTTCATATATTAATATACTTACCAACTAACCGTAAGAACGGTTCACGCGATGTTTTGGTATAGACGAGAATTTGATTTAAATAAATGGCACATGAAATTAAATAAGAATATATTTATTCATATAGGACCTTTCCGTCATGAGAGACGTATCGTATTTTTTATCACTCTACCTACCGTCCAGTTCGACAAGTTACTTTCAAGAATAATTGGCAAGAAAATGAACTGATACATTTTGTTTTATTATTATTATTGTTTTTATTTCCTTTTGTAAATAATAGTGACGTTTTTAATCTCTAACCCTTCCAATCGATCCTCCGTCCAATTGAAAAGATGATCGAAATTACGATGGCCCGAGCCCAGTTCCCCTACTAGTGCCATCAGATTAAAGTCGTATCCCCCAGGCAGGAGTTGGCCTTCAGCCGCTCTATAAGTCCTTCCGCGGGTTTGGAGTATGTAATAATATTTTGTCTGTGATTTAGAGTGACATCTGCCAGAAGGCCAGCTGCAGCTAACAGCATAAGAATACTTCGAAAAAAATCTTTATATTCACATTTTGGCAATTTCTCTTTATGTCTTATATACCTGCATGTATAAGACTAAATAGAAATTAACTGACATAAACTTCAACTAAAATTAGGTTAGTTGTCTTGTAAACGCATCGTATGTAGTTATTAAAAATTGGTTGAGGAGCAGTGATGGCTGGCTCATACGTCATACTCGTGAACGAGTGCTGCTTGTAGGGACTGGTAGTGGTCTGCTTTAATACCTACCACTGATGTAACCTTATCGTGTATTTATATTTGACCCTAATAAATTTGTGTTGGTGGTTTGAAAAAAAAATCACAACATTTATTTAAAAGAGCAACACACAAGTTTCTTGCTCGTTTTTCTTGTGATGAGACAGCTGAATTTGCCAAATGAGCAGTAGATTAAAAAAAATGTGATGACTATTCAAAAGCACTTAAATTAAATTTATTTTCATATAAGGATTTTATATTCTTATTATAAACAAAATGTCGTTTCAAAATATAAATTTTGTTCGATCTTTGTTAACAGTTCCTAACTAGTTTCAAAATGTAAAAACTTTACATTTTAAAACGACATTTTGGTTGATCTTTGTTAACAGTCGTCTTTACCATAAAGGCACACGGGGCCCGTGCCCAGGGCCCCGTGTGCCTTTCTCTCAGGGCCCCCCCGAAGGACTGACAATTTTTCTCACACATTTATTCTCAAAAGATTTTTGTCACCGCCGTCTTAAACTAGGCCGGGGCCCTTGGGCACACAAGAATTCGGGGCCCTGTAGTGTGCCCACACTTTGCATACAACGCCGACTACCGATAACTTCGCCTATTCATATGTTCAAAATTCAAATTCAAATTCAAAATATCTTTATTCATGTAGGTCTATTACAGACTCTTATGATATGTCAAATCTACCGTCAGTTCGGAATGATATCGAGATGAGAAGAACTGACAAGAAACTCAGCTCGTAATTTTTTCAAATAATAGTGGAACATGTTTATGATAAATACAGTTATTAAAATTCAAATTTGGGAGAATAGAGTGACCACCAGCATATGCTATCGCAAAGAACAAAAAATTTAATCAGTGTTCACAACCTGAACAGACCAGTCCCCACAAGCAGCACCCGTTCACGAGTATGACGTATGAGCCAGCCATCATTGTACTCAACCATATTTGAGGGAGCACATCGACCCGGCCCACCACGCCGCCACAAGTTTGAACTTTATAGCGAGCATGACTGTTTCAGGTTACTCCACTACGTCAATTATATTATTTACAGCATAGGCTGTACCGATCACAGTTTTCACCCATTACAATATTAAATTTATGCTTACCTAATGTTTTTTTTTTACTTTCCAAAAGGGCCCCGAATTCTTGTGTGCCCAAGGGCCCCAGCATAGTTTTAGACTGCGGTGTTCTTAACTATGTTCTCACAGCTAAATAGTCAGTAATCCGCAATTGGATTAATGAGATCTTCATCTGCGTCTCGCGATGTACTTACTCTACAAAAATTATGGATCAGCAACTACTTTCATCAATTATGTTAATGCGCAGATGCGCAGGCGCACGGCAGCCGCCGCTCGGCTGCTTTCCGAATTCCGAGCTCGGATTAACGAGCCTTGCACTCGTAAATTCGCCGTTCCGGCTGTCACTACACACATACACACTAGTAAACTGCCCCGGCTTCGCACGGGTTCTAATATTTGAGGTTCTTCTTTCATAAAAACTAAGTTATCTCATGTAATCAAATGTAGTTCAAGGCAATTTTGTTGAAAAATTTAATACTTATAATTTATTATATTTTGTTATAAACACATATTTATTTGGATAACGATTAATACCATGTTTATAAAAACACCTTCGCAAATAGTCTATTACTTTATTAGAAATTTGATTACCATAAATAGTGAATTAACCTTAAAAGATAGACACACATGTTGTTATGGATTCTTTAGAACTTTTAAAGGAGAACTTTCATTATACATATTTTTTTCGTAATTTTAACCGTTTAAGCAGCGCACCTGAGGTACATATATATAAACACTTAAAATTAATATTCTTTGTTACATTTTTCATTGCTGCTCCGCTCCTATTACTCGTAGTGTGATGTTGTGTATGCTATAGCAGATGGTATCCAAGGGAAACCAATAGCAATAAGTGAGGTGATAGCTGGCTCATCCGTCATACTCGTGAACGACTGCTGCTTGTAGAGACTGGTCTGCTCTTATCACTACGACTGATTTAATCTTATTGTATATTTATATTTGAGCCTAAATAAATTAGTGCTGGTTGGTAGTTTGTATTCACACGTTTCGACTTGTAAAATGTGAACTTACAAGGATTGTTTAAAAGAGCAACACACAAGTTTCTTGCTTATTCTTCTTGTGATGAGATAGGTTTCCGAATAAGCGGTAGATTTAAAAAAAATTGTTGACTATTCAAAAGTGTTTAAATTAAGTTTATTTGAATAAATGATTTTCAAGGAAGGGAACTGTTAGTAATGTGGACTCATGACCTCATTACTAGCAATGTACCATATCAGGTTGACCTCCACGCGGTTCCCCCTGGAAACCATCATGATAACTTCCTGGTGAATTTGTCACGGTGGGCTAACTAACCTGACCTCATGTTAATCTTATCATCCTCCACTGGTGGCCCGCCAGCGTAAACCGTTAGCGCAGACGGGTGCACCAATCCATTATCATCCATAAAAAAAATTAACAATCCCAGTTTCCCCCCAACAGAGAAACAAGTTAGCGTCCAGCAGACACTATTGCCCACCCATCCATGCCCCCGACAGATCACATTCTCATTTCTATGAACTAGCGGACGCAGCGAAAGCGTATAATTAAAAATTAAAATCAACAGTAAACATTCCTAATTAAATCGCTCACATACCGAAATTGCTTCTGAGACGCTCGCTCTTCACGCTCTTATAGGCAAGGCCTACTATATCACCATCTTAATCTGACACCTAAATAACATCTGCTTCGCCTCTACTATATCCGTTTTGTTCAGTAACAGGGAGGTGTGGGAGTTGAAGTAACACTGGTGTAGCTTTATGGCTACATTTTGCAACATTAACGGAAGACGAGGTTACAGCCCGTTAATTAGTGCTTGATAAAGACGTTTTCTACGCTGTGAATGTACAGCTGAACTTTACCAATGAAGGGGCGCTGCTGGAAATAAACCCAGAAACAGAAACAAAGAAATATGGCAGTGAAACTAGAGAAGACAATAATAATGATTTCAGGACAATTCACGCAGCGCCAT